TAATAGAGGAAAAACAGATTTTATAATTATACCTATAACCTAAATAAAACTATACTAAAATTCTTTCTTTTTGAACCAAGAAATGTACCATTGATAAAACTTAAATATCATGCTTTAATATCCAAAATAGTGTCACTCAAAATGGTAGCATATTCTTTGGCTTTTTGTTTAAGGCCCAAACTCCATGCATGCCTGCGTCTTTAAGTCCAACCGCTTATGAATGGGAGAAAAGTTAGGCAAACAGAACAAGAAGGAAGAAAAACAAGAAAGTCAGTCAAAGTGCATTTTTAATTCATTAAAACAAAATCAGGAAACTGACTTTCAGGTTTCTGTAGTACAGGGACCACTTGGGTATTTGAACTTGTAGAAAATTAGCTGCTCCATGACTCTGGGTCAGACTGTTGCTTTCCTGTGGATGTTCTCTGGGCAGACTTCACATACTCAGTGAATTCAAAGCCACATTTTACAACAAAACCTATGAATGCATATTTCTGAGAAGATTTTAGTTTAGTGGATATTGTCATTAACTGCAATGCTTTCCAGGACTGTATAACCTAATAAATTCTACTTAATTAAGTGGCGCTTTTTTTTTTTTTTTTGGACACAATAGGAAGCTTTTTGAGGAGTCAGGAAATATCATCAGTACAATGTCAATAAATTCTGAAAGAATAAATAACCATCTCCAGTTTCTGTATCCCAAGTTTTATACAGATTGCTTATAGCTTATTCTCTAATTTATAACACAGACTATCTCTTCTTGAAAAGGATTAGTAATATGTGGCAAAAAAGAGACCATTTCTCCTTAATTTTTCTACCATTAAAAAAGGTTGGTGATTAACCCCTTTCTTGAATCTTTCAAGCCCATTCCAGTGGGGCCAGTTCTTCCTTCCCAGGAAGGCTGGACCAGACTTACTTTCTTTTTTTTTTTTTATTATATTTTTTTATTGGTTGTTCAAAACATTACAAAGCTCATGATATATCATCTTTCATACATTTGACTCAATTGGGTTATGAACTCCCATTTTTACCCCAAATACAAATTGCATAATCACATCGGTTACACACTCACATTTTTACATAATGGCATATTAGTGACTGTTGTATTCTGCTACCTTTCCTTTCCCCTACTATCCCCCCTCCCCTCCCCTCCCATCATCCCTCTCTACCTCATCTGCTGTTGTTCAATTCTCTCCCTTGTTTGCCCCCCCCTTTCCCCTCACATCCTCTTCTATGTAATTTTGTGTAACATTGAGGGTCTCCTACCATTTCCATATGCTTTCCCTTCTCTCTCCCTTTCTCTCCCCCCACTCGTCTTTGTTTAATGTTAATCTTTTCCTCATGCTCTTCCTCCCTGTTCTGTTCTTAGTTGCTCTCTTTATATCAAAGAAGACATTTGGCATTTGTTTTTTAAGGATTGGCTAGCTTCGCTTAGCATAATCTGCTCTAATGCCATCCATTTCCCTGCAAATTCTATGATTTTGTCATTTTTATTGCTGCGTAGTACTCCATTGTGTATAGATGCCACATCAAGAGAGGAAGACAAGGCACTTCTGATTAGACCTTGGCTCACCAGCACCCTTCCTATCTCTACCAGGTACCATCCAGCACAGAGAAGAGGATTTCCTCTTCTCAGCTGATCCTTTGGGCAAGAGCAACATTACTCGTGGCCCCTTGTGACTATGGCCACAGTTCCCACTTGTCTTTCTCTTCCCTTCTCTATTTCAGCCATTTTGGCCACTCAGGGTGTATCTCTGTAGGAAGAAAAACTATAGCCCAAGGTTTGAGGAAGTGGTGCAATACAATATCTGACAAGACTAGGAGTAAGAAGAAAGAGGTGACAAGACAATGTTAGCTATTCATCCTGGGTTCAGATGCAGGTTTCATAATTTAATACTGAAGACAGTGGAGTTTAGTGTTGTCTCTGGGCTCTCCTAAGATGTGTGACCCTGGGCAAGAGGTTTAACCATTCAGTGATTCTGCTTCCTCATTTATAAAGTAGAAATGGTAGTGCCTACCCCCAGGAGATTGTTGAGAATCAGATTACATAATGTGAATTTTAAAACAGTGGAAACATTAAAGAGTAGGCATTAACTATGTTAGCTATTGGAAATACTATGTATACACAGAGTTGTAAAAGGAATGTGGTAATTCTACTTCTATTTACTTGGGATAGTATCAGTGACAAAGTGTTTTGTGAAAATGCTATAGAATAATATACTTAGTATGAACCTGTTTGGAGAAGAAAAAAAGAAAGAAAGAAAAGAAACCAGTATGTGTTTATAGGCACCCAAAGAAGTCTAAAAAGGCACACATCACCCAAACACTGGACTACTATTACTGCTGGAGAGAGAGTGATAGGGGATGACAGGGAGTGACATTTGTGTACAGGTCTTTCCTTGAATTAGCATGCATGTGCTACTTTTATAACTAATTTTAAAAACTGAAACTTTTTAATAGCCTTTCTAGCCAAAATTAAACAGCTCTCTGTTCTAGTCTAGGAAAAGATAAGCTTCTTGGGGGTCAGCAAGTTTGAAGTAGAGCCCTCCACCCTCCTGACCCTCCTACTTTCTCTTTTCAAATTCCCTTCTATTCTTCACAGTCCTTGGAACATTATGTTCGTAACCCTGACATATCTAAAACATTCTGAAATTGTTTTTTTTTCTTTTCCTTTCTTCCACTCATATCTGAGTTTTCCTTTTCCTGTGCCCAAGTGGCTTCCACCTTCAATGTCTTACTATCTTCATTCCTCTCAGTATTTTCTGACCATATCCCTCCATGCCGTGTGTTGTGTGGTTCAAGCCCAGGCACCCCTGCCTTGCCAAACCCACTGAGTAACAATAAACCCCTACCTTTCAGGTGTTGGGCAGGCACAACCTCCCCAGCCCAATTATATAATGGAGTATGCCTCTAAGTTGCTTTTTGCCTTGCAAAAGGTCCAAATGGGCTTTTAAACATTTATTATTATTATTATTTTTAATGCAGGAAACTGCTTTATGTGTTTTGGTAGGCACTTTTTTCTTTAAGTCTTTCTTTATACAGGTGTTTTAGTTCTGTTTTGGCTTTTCCTTGGACATTACAATGCTATTTTGTATTGTAATCAACGTCCTCTTCCATGCTTGACTGATATGTATATTATATATCAGTCAAGCATAGAAG